ACTAATGAATCTCAAAAGTATTATGCTAAGTGAAAGATACTAAATTACACAATATTGCAATTCTGTTTATATGAGATTTTATTACACACAAAACTAATCTGGTGTTGTACATCATTATTAGTGATTTCTTGGGATGGGAATGAGGGAACTGACTGCAAAAGGCACAGAGGAACTTTTGTGGGTAATGGTAATGCTCTATACTTGGGCTGACAGTTATTCATTGTCAAAACTCATTTAATTGTACTCTTGATTTCTGCATTTCACTGTGTATGAATCATAAATTTGACTTACTTAAAAAAGTTTATTAGAGCAAGATGAGGAATGATATCTTTAACCACTTTTCTCTCTAATTCCTGCTTCCCATCAGTGTTTCCTAGTTACTCAGGAGCTTCTTTCCTTATCATTTCATTTCATTCTTGTATCAAATCTCCATGACAGGGATAATTAAATGTTGTTTGTAGATAGGCTGAGTAGGCCATAACTAAATGCTGCTTTTTTTGTGTGCCATTTTTAGCTCTTTTTATTAAAGGATATATAGGATAATAACTGTAAAATCATGTTTGAATATAATGATTATCTTAAATATGTAAGTCTTTGGAGGAAGTGATACTGTATAGTGGTTAAAGATAGGACTTGAGTCAAATTAGCTTTAAATCCTAGCTCCATGACTAGCAAGCTGAATGACACTTGTGACTTTAGACATTCCCTATCTTTAATATTTTTTCATCTGTAAAATAGCGATAATAATGTTTACTCAAGTGTTGTGAGGATTAAATTAGATAATCCATATAAAAAGTTTTAATACAGTATCACAGTAAGTGTTCAGTAACTGTTAGCTGTTATTATCCTTTTTTCAGTGAAAAGTGCATCAGTCCTCTCATTTGCATAACTCCTTATATGTCCAATGATCATTTCGTTAGCTACCTAAAAGAATCAGTGAAGTTATAGAGTGTAAATTTAGCTATTTGACTTTAAACTCTACTTTTAAACAGCTTTATTGAAGTCTGAATTGACACAGTGAGCTTTACATATTCAAAGTGAATAAGTTTATACCACAATTTACATGTTGATTTACCTGTTGATATTTAGGTTTGTTTTCTGTTTGGGGCTGTTACAAATAAAACTATCATGAATATTCATGTAGCAAGTCTTTATATGGACATAAGGCTTTCATTTCTCTTAGTAAATGCCTAGTTGTGGAATGACTGGGTCAGATGGTAGGTGTGTGTTTGCTCTTCTTACCAGACTTTTCCAAAGTGATTATGCTATTATACTTCATTTATGCTAGTAGAATTTGAGGGTTCTATTCCACATCTTTGCCAATACTTGGTATGGTCAGTTGAAAAGCTATTTTTCAAGTTATTACCTTTTGATGGTTTTTTTCATGTTGTCACAAAACACATGAGAATTATTTGCAAAAAGTATAAAATGGGCCAGATAGCTAAAGATTTTTAAGTTAAATTTAAAAGTATTTTGAGTTATTGCAGTGCTAAGAGATGGTTTACTAGAAAATTGAAAAACTAGGGGATATAGTGCTCTTTTAAGAGGTTAATTTTGTAATGTGTGTTATTGTTTTATATGTGTATTTCTTTCCTTTGATAGAGTTTTCCAGAAAAAGACCTTCTGCACTGTCCATCTAAGGATGCAATTGAAGCTCATTTTATGTCATGTATGAAAGAAGCAGATGCTTTAAAACATAAAAGTCAAGTAATCAATGAAATGCAGAAAAAAGATCACAAGCAGCTCTGGATGGGATTACAAAATGGTAAATATAATAATACTGTTTAATTTTGGAATACCACTTTATAAAATATGATACAGCCATAACCCTGTGAGTCATTGATACATTTTAGAATTGGTATTACAAGTTTAAATTTTAGCCTCCATGCCCAGATTTGCACAGAAACTACTTTAGTCATTCCTTACATTCTGCTTTCAGTGTCCCTCTGTTCTTGGATTCTCTAGCATTACACTGATTGCTTAGCCCCGAACATGTGGCATATGTCGTATAAACTTGTGATTAGCTTCTGAACAAAGTGCCGTTACTCTAAGGATGTGGTCCTTATTCCTCAGGCATGACCTTTCTGTGGACAAAAAGGAAAATCCTGGGTGTGTACAAAGATACCTCCACTTGTGTGGGGATTGAACTCCAACCTCTGCTTTCTCAGGACAGTAGACTTGCTTTGTGCTTCAATTCCCTTTCTCCTTGCCGTGGTTTAGAAAATACTCTCAAGGAAAAAACTAAGTGGAATGTGGTGCTCATCTCTGTATTCTTCACGTTTTGGAGAATATAACTCTGTGATCTTGTCTGCATTGATCACCATCTAGTGTCTTTAAACAGTTGTTTATGTACAGATGGTCCTCCCTTTCCATGGTTCCAGTATGCATGAATTTCAGTTACCATAGTTTAGTTACATAACACCAGGTCCCCAAATGTATGGTTCAAATTTCAATTACCATGGTATATTAACTGTACATAATTACATTAAATGCAAACTTCATTGCTAGTTTAGTCCAGGAATCATTACATAACAACAGATGAGCTTATGATCAGTGATAAATTATGCCACTTCTTTGCATGTCTGTCAGTGATTGGCCTCTTCTGTCTGTCATTCATTTTACTCACAGATGGCAAAGCATGTAGTTGTGTTGCCTCCTTGTCTCCAGCAATAAGCCCATGTAACATTTTATAAAAATGGGTAATTGAAAAAGGAAATTGGCCAAGAGAGATGAAAATGCACCAAAGAAACAAACTGATAATGTTGGGAATGAAATTTGAATAGAAAGAAACGGAGTTATAGAAGCAATAGCTGACTTTGGAAGTGTTGACATGGCTGCCCTTCAAGAGACAAGATATGCAACCAGGGGAACTTCTTATTGGGGAACTTACATTCAGTAAAGGTGAACGTATTAACATAAATAAGGAACGTAGTTGTGACAAAAAGATAAAGATGTCCCAAAGGAAGTGATGCTATAAAAAACTTCATATTAAAGGAACTCTCAGACATTTTATGATATCAAAATACAAATAATAACATGTTAGGAGTTGATTAAGATGTAGAAAGAATGACTTCAGTTCACCAAGGCATAGGAAAGATGCTTGCCCATAAGTTATATGTTGAGAAAGCAAGTATTTTTCAAACTATAGTTCTTATGCTTTTACAAAGAAAACACTTTTGGCTGGGTGTAGTGGCTCAGGCCTTTAATTCCTGCACTCTTTAGGAGGCCCAACTGGAAGGATCACATGAAGCTAGGAGTTGGAGACCAGCTGTGGCAACATAATAAGACCCCATCTCTACAAAAAAATTTAAAAGTTAGCCAGGCATGGTGGCATGTGCCTGCAGTCCTAGTCAGGCTAAGGCAGAAGGATCACTTGAGCCCAGGGAGTTCATGGTTACAGTAAGCCGTGATCATGTCACCACATTCCACCCTGGGTGACACAGTGAGACCCTGTCTGTAAACAAATGATAATTAAATAAAATTTAAAAATAAAACACTTTAGTTCTCAATGTTTCTAATGTGTTAAATTATAATGTACTAAATAAATATTAGGATTTTTAAAAACTTTTTATTTTCAAGCATAGATTTATTGTGGTGTTTTGTTTTGTTTTGAGATGAAGTTTCACTCTGTCACCCAGCCTGGAGTTCAGTGGCACAATCTCAACTCACTGCAACCTCTGCCTCTAATGTTCAAGCAATTTTCATATCTCAGCCTTCTGAGTAGCTGGGGTTACAAGCATGTGCCAACATGCCCGGGTAATTTTGTATGTTTAGTAGAGACAGGGTTTAGCCATGTTGGCCAGGCTGGTCTTGAACACCTGGCCTCAAATGGTCCTCCCGCTTTGGCCTCCCAAAGTGCTGGGATTACAGGCATGAGCCACCATGCTCAGCCTCTAGTGTACATTTATAACCAACAGTAAGAGTTTAATGTTTTGACAACATTTTTTAAAGATCATAGAACAATTATAATTGTACCCATTAGTTATTAAGATCACTTTGCTTAGTTTCAACTTGCATGATTACTTCTCCAGTCCCATACTACCATGCAAAGTGAGGACATGTCCTGTAATTCGTCTATCTTCAACAATGCTTTTGGCCAGGGAGTTAGTCCAGTATACATTCTTTCATGGCAATGACTAGAATAAAACAGAAGAAAACCTCCAGCTCCCATAATTTTTCAAATATGTTGACTGGGTGTGGTGGCTTACACCTGTAATCCCAGCACTTTGGGAGGCCAAGGCAGGTGGATCATAAGGTCAGGAGTTCAAGACCAGCCTGGCCAATATGGTGAAACCCTGTCTTTACTGACAAAAAATTAGCCTGATGTGGTGGTGCACGCCTGTAGTCCCAGCTACTCGGGAGGCTGAGGCAGAAGAATCGTGGAGGTTGCAGTGAGCCGATCATGCCACTGCACTCCAGCCTGGGCAACAAAGTGAGACTCCGTCTCCAAAAAAAAAAAGTGATCCAGTTTTAACTTTTGGACTATACTGTTACTACATCAAATGGGTGTTTGTAGGTATTTAGTATTCGTTAAACTTTCATTATACAACATTTAGGGCATTTCTGTGGTATCAAGAGCAAGTAAGGCATGTATTTTATGACAGTGTATTCTGTAAATTACATTTTTTCATTTCTCATTTCTTTGTTTTAAATTTTTTGGATTTGACCTCGGTTACATGGAGTCACTCCTTAGTTTCATATTTAATGCATCTGGTATTTCTCAACTAGTTAAGCACTAGGTGTCTTACCAGATTTTGATTACTGAGTTCACAAATTCTTATTAAATGATTAAAATAATTTATACCTCCTTAAGTAGATTTCTTACTGGTGATGTGAAGATTAAATGATATTTTAGGAGACTTGTAAATAACAAGGTAGCCTAAATGGAGGAAGATGGGGATCATGTAAAGAGAGAAGGATTTGAACTAACGTCAGAATTGAAGTTAATAATTTAATTAGACAGATGAGTAGGTATCCTTTTTTTTCTTTTTTTTTCAAGGTCAAACTGAGAAAGGTTTTATTTTTAAGATAAAACAAATAGCATTAACACACATCCAAATGCCAGTGCGAGAGTTCACTGGGTTGTATAAAGAGAAAACTGGAACCACTGAAAAATGACTGCTGCTTGTGGTGACACAGGTACAACATGTGCTTGTCTAAGAAGTCGTTCTGTGTTTGTGGATATGTGAAAACAATGCAAGGCAAAATGGCAGGTGCTCGAAGCTTTAAGATCCTTTTCTTCATGCTAATGTGCTCTTGTTTTGCTTTTGAGAATTAGAATAATTAGCAGATCATTTTACAAAGAACTGTCATATAAAAGAACACTTCCAAAAGGCTAAAATAGGTTCAAGGTAATTATTAAAGTGATACAGGGAGGTCAGTGAGGGAAACGTTTGTGTTCTCAAAAGCCAGATTTCACACAGTTGCAGGCACTAAATCTAGTTACATGTGCTTGCAGTAGAAAAGGAGACACTGATCTTAAAGGCTGGTCTTTTTCATGATGCGCAGGAACTCTTGCTCACTGATCTCTCCATCTCCATCTCGATCAGCTTCATCAGTCATTTCCTGCAGCTCCTCATCAGTCAGGTTCTCACCCAACTCCTTGGCCATGTGTTTCAGATTTTTGAACGAAATCTTCCCAGTTTCATCATCATCAAAGAGCTTGAAAGCTTTTAGGATTTCTTCTTTGGTATCTTTCTCAGACATTTTCTGGGTCATCACAGTTAAAAAGTCACCAAAGTTCATTTTTCCTGTCCCTTCCTTATCAATTTCACTTACCATTTTCTTAATTTCTTCTTTCTTGGGTTCAAAGCCCAGGGACCTCGTTGCCACCTTAAGTTCCTTAACATCTATGCTGCCAGTTCCATCTGCATCAAAAAGATCAAACGCTTCCCTGATCTCCTGCTTCTGCTCTTCTGTAAGCTCAGGCTTAGGACTCATTCTGTTTTGCTGGGCACTTGATGCCATGTTTGCCTTCTTAAAGTTGGAGGCCATAGCCAAAGAACTCCCTGAGTAGGTATTCTTAAAGTCTATTGTGAATGGCTGAGTCTGCTAAAAAGGACTTGGATTCAGCAGAGGATTTTACAAATGATTTAAATGTTTCGTTTGGGGCATTGGAAGATTCAGTTAAGCGTTAGAAAAGGAACAGAGGCCTGGTTTTTAGTCTCAGGTCTTAGAAGTCCTTAGGTCAAATCAGCCCCTTTTAGCTTCAGTTTCTTAATCTATAAAACAAGAGAATATCTGTTATGTTTGACTCATGGATATATGTAGAGGCTCTAATGAAACCCTAATACAGTTTATGTGAAAGTGTTTGAAAGGGAATAAAGCTGACTTGATAAAAAGAGTGAGAAGTCATTTTTAGCTTCCAGGACAGGGTTGGCAAATATGGTCATGGGCCAGCCACCTGTTTTTGTAAGTAAAGATTTACTGGAACTCAGCCACACTCATTCATTTATGTATTGTTGGTGGCTGCTTTCAGTAGCAGAGTTAAATAATTAAGAGGAGACTATGTGGCTCACAAGCCTAACATACCTGTTATCAGGCCTTTTAAGAGAATGCTTGTTAACTAATAAAAGGCTGGTTGACCAAGCTACAGCTCATGTTTATCTTTGACCTGAAGTCTGACTCAAAATGTTACACATTCAGAACTGGGTATAACATATTTTAGCAAACTTAATCTAATAACTGCATTTTTTACAATTTTTTTAGGCATAAAATTACTTTATTTCTGCCTTGGCTCATGTTGTTTCTTGAGTATGTGACTGTTGTATACATTTCTTTATTAAATTTTATTAAATTAATTTTAAAGTGAAGTTTGATTAAGTCCAACTTTAAATCATGTTTGGTTAAAATTTTCTTTATTCCATTTTATTTTTGGTTATAAATTATTTTTATAGCTATCATGTTTGGTTTTATTTGTGATGGTTATGATTAAGCTTACACTACTATGATTGAGCTAACATACCTCTCATAAGACTTTGAGTAGTCTTGTGAGAGGTCTTCACAGCAAAGTCTAATGAGAAGTATGCTGTGGATACTGGAGTCCTTGGTACTTTATTATCTGTTTATTCAGAATGAGAATATTCATTTCGGAAATCTTTGGCTCGGTAAATGTTGCTAGTAGAAAATATATTTTGGAGTAAAATGCTGAATGCTAATTAACATAAATGGGTAAAAGGTGGATGTTTTCTATTCTGTTTCTTCTATCAAGAATACTTTTTTCCTCTTTAACTCCTTCTGATGTTTTAATGCTCATCTCAGTTGTCACTTTCTATAAGAACCTTTCCTTCTTTTAACTATTTTGGTCAACAGACATTTATTGAACATCTAATGTATACCTGACATTATGTTAGGAGCTAGTGGTCATCCAGCACTGATGGGACAGACATGGCTCCTGTCTTCACAGAGCTTTATAGGAAAGTGGAGGCAGAATTGTTAATGCTTTCAGGCTGTTGTGACTCCTTGTTACATTTATGCATTTTTTTTCTCTTGTATTTTATCACACTCTAGTGTTCTTATATGGTTTATGTATTTTGCTGGCATATCAATTAGGCTGGTTGGAGTATATCTTACATTTTTATATCCCTGGCACCTCGTATGGTCTTTGGCAGAAAGTAAAGAAACTAAATAGTAACTGCATGACTTCTTTATTCCTTTCTAAAACTACCAGGAAATAATATTAACAATTTTTCATAAATAGCTTACTATTAGTATAAACTAAAGGAAGTGTCATGTTTGAATTTATTTATGGAATTGGATTTTATGTAGCATTTTTTCCTCCAAAAGAAGTTTTTATTGTGAAGTCAGAGATATTAAACCTTTCTGTTAGTGCAGTTGTAAATTTCTCAATATTCAGACATAACAGATGGCACGTTTATTTCACTTAGAACTGCACCTGTAGATTGTAACAGTTAAACAACAATTTAAACAACTTTTGAATACTTTCAAATGCTAATTTTAATTTCTCAGGACTCTGTGAAAGAGAAATAAGAAAAGCGTATGAAACCAAGAAAACTCATTTAAGACATACTGTGCCTTTCAGTGTTTTTTTTTTAACGAGTTTTCATTTTATAAAAATATTTAGCCTCTCTGTGAAACAAAGTTAATGACCACAAGAAAGAAAAGAAAGTAGCATTTTTATTTATGAGACAGTTGTTACTACAAGTGCAGGCTATTATCTATTTAATGTAAAGCCATTTTTCTTATAAGGTAGCAATTTTTTTATAGATTTCTATAAAATCTATAAAAAATATTTTTAACATGACTTAGTTTTCTGCCTTGCTTTTCTGAGTATATGTTCTAACTAAAAAGTCGAGGAAGGATGGTATTAGACTTGCAAATAAGGGCAAAGTTTGACTGCTACTATGTTAAAAGTGTACACTGTTTCTAAAATGTGGTTACGCTTTTTCAACTAATTAATATTTTAGTGACATTAATTGTTTGATATGCCATTTTAACCTAAAACTGGTTTCTAAGAGGACACAGTGATTAGCTAATGGTAATTTTATAACAAGTCACAACATTTGAAAAATACTTTTGTTTGGTAGGTAACATAAAAGTTAAATGTAGTGATTCCAGCTTTTGGAGGTTTGTATGATAGAGACAGGTGGGTTGTAATTGCATTACCTTGTTTTTACTGGTTCTACTTATAGTAGAATAAGTATCAGACTAAGAATCTGTTGTTCTGAGATGGAACACCAGACCTGATCTATTTATTTATTGCTGTGTCTCTTATCAGTTATATGACCATGGCAGGTCACTTTCTATCTAAGCTGGACTGTTTTTTCTTTTCTACCCCTTCCCCAGTTGTCTTCCTTTCCCCTAGGTGATGTCTGAAAAGCTGGAGTTTTATTACAAATATGAAGGGGGTAATACCTCATAAGACTCTCATTCAAGGATGGTAAAGCAATGATCACATATACCTTAATTCTGATGATAGGTGTTTTCAGTTGATTCCAAAAGGACTTCCTGTATGAATAATTTTTACTGTTCTCCCATCCCCTCCTCTCTTCGTCTTCTTTTTAAGCAGGACTTACTTAGGTAGAAGGAAATAGATAACTTTCCAGAAATAAATGTAGTAACATAGAAAAACTACCAAAACAGAAACAAGAGTTTTTAGACTTAATGTAGCTATTACTATCCGTGTATCTATGTTGAGGCTTTATATGATTTTTGTTGCAGTGTCAGGTTCTGTTCTAATTGTAGGTGGTATAAAAGTAGATTCTTAAGTAGAACTGTCAGTAGGAGGCATAAGTATTCTTCTTGAACTTCTTTTCTTATTGAAAGGTTGATATTGGATAAGCTTCCTTTTTTAAAGTCTTTAGCAAAATTCAGATTTTTACCAGTCTTTGGAACACTGAGACTACATTGCGTAAATAATAGCAAAGAAAAAAGTACAGTGAATCTATATTGGTCACTCAGTCTCACCTGTTACTAGTATATGTCCAGTCTTGTTTCATCTGTTATTTTTTATTCTTTGTCTGTGAGTTTTTGGAAATTTTTGTTTTTTTCTTCCATTGCCACAAATATTTCTCACAGATTTTGTACTCTTATGTTTAATCAAGTCTTGGAAACAACATTCATTGTGTTCAATCTTTAGGGCTGCAAATTCTGTCTTCATTATAGGAGAGTCATGCCCAGACAGTAGTAGTGTGGATTAGCTAGCCAATAAAAAAACGATGTGCCAGCCTCTGTGCTAAGCACAGGGGACACTGAGTAAATATGACAGGCACAATCCCTTCCTTCTGAATGTGTAGGGTAGCAGGGGAGCCAGACATGTTTAATGTACCTTTTACGTATACATTTATAACTGGAGTTGTAGAGCAAGAAGGAAGGGCTAGAGTGGTGTGATTGTGATGAAAGTCTTCCGGGCAGAGGGAATGATCTGCGCTAGGCTTAGAAGCAAAGAGCTCACAAAGTTCTGAAAGCTGAAAGGCCATCCTGACTAGAACATGTTGATCAAGATTGAGAGTGGTAAGGAGGTAAAACTGGAAGTTAGAGACCCTGTCTGTTCAGGGCTTTACAGGCCATTTTTTTTGGGCGGGGGGGGGGGGAGGAAGGCAGGAAGGGAGGGAAGAAGGATGGTAGGGAGGAAGGAAGGGATGAAGGAAGGAAGGAAGGGAGGAAGCGGGGAGGGAGGGAGGGAGGGAAGGGAAGGAAGGAAATCAAGCAATGAGAGAGACATTGCCGACCTGGATCTAGAGGTTTACAAGTTGATTTCTTTTTTTTTGAGAGAAGGAAAGAAAAAAAAAATAAGTAAAGGAGAGGAAGAAAGAGAAAGAGAAAGAGGGAGAGTAAATGGAAATATTGCTTTATTTTGAAAAAAATTGGGTATTAATAATGGCCAATCAATGTTTCATTTAAACTTATGGGTAGGTGTGATGTGGTATTGACAAGAATGTATATTTTGTGTATTTGAAGTGGAGAGCTCTATATATATTTATTAAGTTTACTTGTTCTGGATCTGAGTTCGAGTCCTTGATATCCTTATTAATTTTCTGTCTCATCGAATCTAAGTCTCCTATCTGGGTGTTAGGATTGTTAGCTCTTGTTGTTGCATTGATCCTTTTACCACTATATCTTTGTTGCTTTAAAATCTATTTTATCCGATACGAGAATTGCAACTCCTGCTTTTTATTTATTTATTATTATTTTTGCTCTCCATTTGGTTGGTACATCTTTCTCCATCCCTTTGTTTTGAGTCTTTGTGTATCCTTGCATGTGAAACAGGTCTGGATGTAACATGCCATTGGGTTTTGGCTATGTCTTTTGATTGGGGGATTTAGTCAATTTATATTTAGGGTTACTGCCATTTGATGTTGACTGGCTGTTTTATCCATTCGTTGATGTAAATTCTTCTTTATGTTGGTGCTCTTTACTTTTTGGTGTATTTTTAGAAAGGCTAATACTGGTTGTTTCTTTCTGTGTGTAATGCTTCTTTCAGAAGCTCTTGTAAAGCAGGCCTGGTGGTAATAAAATCTCTGAGTTCTTGCTTGTTCATAAAAGATTTTATTTTTCCTTCAGTTGTGAAGCTTAGTTTGGCTGGATATGAAATTCTGGGCTGAAGGTTCTGTTCTTTGAGGATGTTGAATATTGGCCCCCACTCTCTTCTGGCTTGTAGAGTTTCTGCTGAGAGATCTGCCGTAAGTCTGATAGGCTTGCCTTTGTGGGTAACCTGACCTTTCTCTCTGGCTGC